TCCACATAACGAAAGCCAGTCAAGAGCCACACCAGTGACACGGTTTTCAACAGCATGAGAGAATGAGGTCACTGAGAGAGGAGTGCTGATGAGGCAAAGGCTGGAGGAGAGGTGCTGACTGCTTGGCGATGGAGGCGTGGGACCTAGAATGTCTCACGTACGCACTCAGCCCACAAAGGACACAGAGGTCACAGTCTGTACTACATACTGCTCTCATTCTAGCTGAACTCCAGCCTCATCCCCACCCTCGTTTGAACTCGCGTCGTGTCAGACCTGTACTTCAGGATGGACTTTGGAAACGGCGCCCGCTGTGAATAAAATCTCCCTTAGATCGATCCCACGAACTTCCGCTCTGCACCACGTTCAGATTTCGATTAAATGGGAACAGAACCTTGTGAAATAAATGTTACATGTGATGGGACATTTTCAGAGCAATCAGATATTGTGGGTGGTGGGTATTCAAGCGCTCGCAGGTCTGAGAGTTGGTTAATGGACAGGCAACAGAGAGCACAGGGAAGGGGTGAACCACCTCAAACTGGGGTGACACGATTAGTGAAGTTCCACAGGGACCTGTATCAGAACCTCTTTGTACTTTTTATCGATGTTATAATGTTTATATCACTGTAACACTTAGTAGAATAGTCAGGTTTGCGGATAATGCAAAATAGGTAGATTATCAAACACTAAAACTTGAAAAACATATCCAAAGATGTATATAATCCTAGACTGGGGATATGCAGATAATGTTCAGTGTAGACCAGTGCAGAGCATTACATGCAGGTACAAACAGGAAACGCCGAGGCTACTTCTGAGAAAAACGTAAGAGTTTATGTGGGCCATTTCTATATTCTAGGTACATTGGGGAAGCAATTTTACTAGTGACACTAGTCAGACCTCATTTTGGGTCATGTGTAAAGTTTTGGTGATCACATTCCAAAAAAAGATATTCCTGCTCTGGAATTATTCCAGAGAAGAGCGGGGATCTCCAGTCCTGCTCCTGGGGGGACCTGCAGGGTTCATAACACCCTGAGCCAGTTCAACGGGCTTCTCGCAGTTAGATGGGCCCAGTCTGTGGTGTTCGAACAACTCCGCTCTCCCAGCTGCACGGTTCTTAAAAAGAACCTTGTGAAACCTGCGCTGACTCAGTGAAACTCGGCTGTACTAGTCTATACTAGGGTTAGAGCACAAAACCACAAAGCTGCATCCACAGCTAATTGCGTAGAGTATAGCGCCAAAACACCGCCAGGACAAAGAGCGCCTTCGGATCGGATTCGGAACTTTAAGAGCTGCCCTGTCAGTCCGCGTCTCTGAACATTTATTTAAATGAGTGTCTAAAAACTCCCAGTGAAGATAAAAGCATTCTTTCATTACAATTCCGAGCAGAGAGAGGCCCTAAGGAGCAATGTCTCAAGAGATCTTTCACCATGCTTGAAACGGACTTTCCTCACTACCTCCGCTCACGTCTCGGCGAGAATTTATCCTCGGCTCAAATCAGACACCCCTGAAACAAACCAGTTTAGGCACTGCCGCACCTTTCAGGTTAATCGCAGCATGTGAAACCACAGCTTGCAGGCACAGCCGAGAGATGGTAATCTGCGAGCCATGTGTGCACTGAATTTGCATGAATGCTGCCAAAGTCCTGAGCCGCTGTTCTGCTGACTGCGGCGTCTGCACACGTCCCAAGAGACCGGGCCAGGCCTGCTCTCGCCCAGCCAACAGCTGCTGGGCGATGCTGACGGTCTTTCGATTGGCTGTCAAAGCAGAGGTGCAAACGGCACCTCACTCTTTGTGCACTTCCTCTCTCCTACGTACAGTACAGTGTAAATACTTGCCGCCTGCCCACGGCTCTGTGCTCACCTTTCCTAGCTCCCCTCCCTCCTCCCCAGCTGCACCCTTGTAGCTGCCTCCCTAGCTCATTCCTTGGAGCTGAGGGCTGTGTGACAGCGCTGATCTCCAGCCAGTTGTACTGAATACACTGTCCCTTTTATATTCCTTGGCTCATTTCGTCCTTGGTAGAATCTGGCCAGCTCTTCGCTGAGCTGTTTGCTGATGAAACTAAATGCTGCTTTCACTCGCAGGGCACCATGTAAAAAAAAAATCTAACATCCAGGTCCATCATACCCAAGCGCAGCTTGGACAACAGCTGCCTCACTCACACACACACGTCTGCTCTCAGAGCTGCACAGGCCTCAGCCTCACCGGAGCACAAGGAAGAAATGTGTGCACCCAGGTGCGTGGAGACAGAAACTTGGGGTCCTCTCTCTCCCCCTTTTCCCTCCGAGATCTCCGTCTCCAGAGAGAGTTCCTCGGAGCGCCGTGGACAGCGGCTCCTCTTGGTTGTGATGTGGGAACACCGCAAGCACGGTCAGAGGTGAGGGGCGGCCAGCCCCAACTGGGACGTGCTCTCCGAGCCCCGCCGTGTGGCTTGTGGTCACACGCACACCCCGGTCGAGGGGGAGACCACCGCTCAGAGCGACAACTGGGTCAGAGGAAGAGCCGCCCCCCCGGGCCCTGACCGTGAGGGGATCATGGCCACCAGCCTTGGCGGAGCCACAGACATTCGTCCACCAGGGACCGTCTCCAAACTGGCGCCCAACAAATCCGGCAGGACCAGCGCAGGAGTGTCCAGAAGAGGAGCAGTATGGCGCGGGTTAGTTTCGATCGCACGCCTGCAGGTTTGCCTGGCCTGGCCTGGCCTGACCTGACCTGGCGAGGCACTCTGGAAGCTTCTAGAACAGGGGTTCCTCATTCTGACCCTGGAGAACACACACACACACCGCTGTTGTTCATTCCAGCCCAGCTTCGTGACCTCACTGAACTCTCCACTGAACCAGCAGCCCCCCGGGAAACTCGTTTTTCATTACGCGCGGACAGTTCTGCAACGTCTCCCCCAGCGAATAATGAGGGCTAGTAGGTGTATCGTTAATACAACGTTAAACAACAGAACTCTGCGTGCCTGTCGCGGTAGTTATTTTAACATAACACGACGCGTTAGGGAACCGGGCCTTAATTTTCTATTTTACACAGAATTTAAAAAGGCCATTTTCAGTTCGTCGTGCCACATAAAGCAGAAGAAATTCTTAGAAACGGGTTGCGCGGACGCGTGTTTGCCGCACAAATTACACAAGTGATGAAGACGATATTTATAAACATCACAAGAGTAGCGAGGCTTTAATAGTATGACGCTGTACAGCTGAACGTCCCCACCGCCACCACGGCTTCAAAACCACCAGTGGGAGAAACGTGACCACTTCAGGGACAGATACCTCTATCAAAGGTAATAATAATAACACGGCTTCTGATGTTCGCCTTTCAAGCACCGTCCAGCCCTGGTTCACTGCAGCGCTCGGCCGATCTCGCCCGTCTCCGCTCTCGCCTGCCATGTCTGAAGCGTGGGTGCGAGTGGATTAAGGCGCCACGGTTTAGCACAGCTATTTCTCAACGCGAACAGAAATTATACGATTATCACATAATACACGAAATCAAATAACGAAGTAGAATTGAACAAAAAAAAACAGTTCTAATCCAATAAATTAGCAGCCAAGCACAGTACTGTGCGTAATGTACTGTATAATCTCGCCCGCTGTTCCCGATTAACACAGCTCATACGAAGGCGCAGCTAGAGAGTTACTTACGAGTCGCCCAGAAAATCGTGGAATTTAATCTTGCCGATGGTGGTTTCGGCTTCAAAGTTGGGGAACACGTCCCCCAGCAGGATGCCGGGCATGGCTGCGCTGCTACAGGGAGCGAGCTCGGTCTGCGACTGGGGCAGGAGCGCTGCGCGAGCGTGAGGGCGGCCGCACGGGCCGGGGGGAGGGCGGAACCGAGATCCTTCAGGCGCACGAGCCAGGGGCGGGGCGGGGGACTTTGCTTCTGCAAACAGAGGGGTGGCGCGGGCGGACCGTCAGCGAGGTGTGTTTTAGTGGGCGTTGCCCTGGGCAACATTGGACAGGTAGACCGCCCTGGTCCCGCTGAAAGTATTGGTCATGGTTAAATGACGATTTTTTAAAACCTTTGGAACAATTTCGAACTGACGTGTTCGGTTCAGTAGTTTAGAGATGGAAACTCCAGTATTGTGTAACTCTCAGGGCCCAAGGGTCGTTCCTGAATTTACTGAACCAGTTATATATATATAATTTCACTCGAGTGGTGTCCCAAGTCTTTACACACTCTTGGTCGAAGTGGATCACAGGCGGTTTTGCCCCAGGGTGTCTGGGCAACAGGTGTTTGTCTGATCCTGCTGATCTCTAATAATCCGCCGCCAGATTTATAATAATTATATAATTGCTTACACTTATATAGCGCTTTTCTGGACACGCCACTCAAAGCGCTTTGCAGGTAATGGGGACTCCCCTCCACCACCACCATGTGCAGCATCCACCTAAATGGATGATTTAGTTTATAACAAAAGGCAGGGTGACACTTGAATATATATATTTGAATACATTTTTCTCTTGCTTGTTCGGCTTTACCCGAATCAGAAGTATATTTTTAATAGAATATTCGTTTTAAAAAATACAATATATTGATCGCTTTCTTTGTGAGATAATGAGTTTATGTATATATTCAAATAATATGGATTACATTCAGTCTATTCACAGCGCTTTGAGCTCAGTGAAGTGGCACAGCGTCACCTGTGTGGCTGCCTGACTTTTTATACCCAAGTATCAAATCCTGGCTGCTGTTTGAGGCACTGTGCTGCGTTTCCGCTGCCCACACTAGCAATGGTCACCGTGGCTTCACTGCTGGTACCGCCAGTCTTTAATGGGGAAGGACTGCGGCAGGTCCTATTTCCCGAAGAGCGTTGCGCTGGGAACAGTAAAGATGGCGTCGTTGTGTCGTTAGGTATAGGAAGTTAAACGCTGTCACTCGTGTCCTGATGAAGTGACGGGAGGGGGAAAATTGTCATCATTGTCTTTTTCCCTCTCCAGTGGGGCTGCAACACCGGCAGACACAGACCGAAGGTAAACAAAACCATGCCTTCGCCAAAAGCAAAAAACAACAGCGGACGCAGCGGTAGCGTACCGGGAATCGGTAACAACGGCCGTTACGAGTTCATGTCTCTAAACCGGACCCCCTCGCCGCACCTGCTGCAGCGGCAGGGCTCGGACCCCACGTCGGCCCGCCTCAGAGCCTCCGAGAGCCCGACCCGTCGACGAGGCTCCGGCTCCTCCAACGCCTCCTCGTCTTCCGCAGCCGGGGGGCCGCCGCTGCCGGAGGAGGACTGTATGCGCCTGAACCCGTCCTTCATCGGCATCGCGCTGAGCTCCCTGCTCGCCATCGACCTGTGGCTGTCCAAGCGCCTGGGGGTGTGCGCCTGCGAGGAGTCGCCCTGGGGCAGCATGCGTCCTCTCATGAAGCTCATCGAGGTCTCCGGCCACGGCATCCCCTGGCTCGCCGGCGCAGCCTACTGCCTGTACAAGAGCGACAGCGCCGCCGGCCAGGAGGTCATGCTGAACCTGCTCCTGGGTGAGTGTTGCAGAGGCGCCCCCCCTTCTCTCGCATCTCGCCTCTCGCTTGTGGCCTCACTCACTTGTCTCGGACCCTCGCCAGCCCTTTACTGTCCGTCACCTTCCACCCGACCTCCTTCCTCCTGTCTCCATCCTCCCATCCTTCCATTAACCCGCCTGGCTCTGTGACTCCCTGCCCCCCCCTCCCCTCCCCTCCAGAAGTTGCCCTACCAACTGACTAGCTCGGGTTTACTGTGCAGAAGGGGTTGTAGAAGGTACCCCTGACGTGCATCCAGAATTATATGTGAGTGGGTTTATATGCTGTGCAGATCTTGCATGTATAAGATGGATAACTGGATTGGTCCTGCAACAGATGCACTCTCCTCTCTCCTAGAAATTCTGGAGAGCCAGTAGACATTTATCTGCCTGTCCACACTCCCTAGGGAAGGTACAGTCTGATTTCTAGGGATTTCACTTTAGGATTTGCAAATAGTGTAGCCTAATCAACCCTTCAAATATTCTGGGAAATGCCTTTCTCAAGCACAGTTGTCTCCAGCACTGGGTACAGTGCGGTGGTTCTGTGGCTAAGGATCTGCGCCTGTGGCTGGAAGGTTGCCGGTTCGTATCCCGCAGCTGGCAGAGGAATCCTACTCCATTGGGCTCCTGAGCAAGGCCCTTACCCCCAACTGCTCCTGGGGTGCTGTATAAATGGCTGGCCCTCACTCTGACCCCAAACTGCTCTCCCTGTCTATGTGTCTCATGGAGAGCGAGTTTGGGTATGTGAAAAGACAAATTCCTAATACAATAAATTGTATATGGCTAATAAAGTGATCTGATCTATGTACAGGTAAGTGAAGACCAGCTGCTTTCTCTGTGCATCATACTGTCTTGTGCCTGTTGCTTATTAGGATAGGCTGTTCTGGATAAAGTGGTTAGAAAATTGATGGATTTCCAAGTGCACAACGCATAGCTTGATGCACTTCTGGCATTCACTTATACAGCCCCCGTGTAATGAACTATAGTTAGAAAACTGATGGATTTCCAAGTGCACAAAGCATAGCTTGATGCACTTCTGGTATTCACTTATACAACCCCCTGTGTGTGAGCTTTTTCTGACGCTAATGCAATAGCTTTCACTTAACACAGCTTACTCAGCCCAGTAGGTCACCGCCCTGCTGTACCGCGATGTGCTGTGTGCTCTGAAGTTCCTGGTGATACCCCTATTTCATTTCACCACGGGTCAGCGAGCAGCCCTGCAGTGAAGGAGCAGCTGTGTCCACAATAGCCCCGATTCGAAGAAATAATGTAACATAAGGTGACAGAGCGGAGCTATTTGTCTTTATTGTCTGGCTGCAGTTAAAGGTCACGCCTCATTTTTAAAGTGTGTCTGTTTGCTGGACGTATACAGCATGATGATAAGCAGTGTTGATTCCAGCTGCTAGTCTAATTCAGGGGTAATCTGGCACTAATCCTTGATAGCAGTGGTCATGTAGGCTTTGAAGGTCACTTTGAATTAGTCTTTAGCCAGGAGTCTGCAAGGACTTGGAGCACATTGGAGTTTTGACCAATATAGTGAGGTTTTTGGTTCAGAGATGGACACTCCTGACCTAACCGGTCCTTGAAGGCCTTATGGTGCAGGTGCTTTAACTTCCATTGAGATCTAAACCACCTGCTTCTGAAGTCACCATATTGTCCCAGCTGTCGGGAAGTTGATGATTTGCAGGTGACCCTTAAAACAAACCCACCAGGGTTGACCGCCCCAGGTTAATTTATAAGATTAAAATGGAACTCGCTGCCACTGATGCGTAGAACCTGCTCAGGCACGCTGAACAGTAAATGTGCTGCAGTACTAGAAGTGCTGAAATGCTAGCAGTCGAAATTGTATTGTAGTTGCACTTATCTATTGTGCTTTACAATAGTGCAAGTCACATCTGATGAGCAAATGAGTACACGCTGTAGAGCAGCTCAGTGAAGTATGCCAGGCAGGCCACTCCAGACCGTGACCAATAAAGCCTGGAGCTCCCAGACTCCCAGCAGGGCCAGTGGCTCCCTAGTAATACTCTCCAGGTCTGACATGACCAGGGATTTAACAAACAGGAGGGGCATCAGTACCGCCTCCCGCCAGCTCCGGTGCCCCTGCTCAGATCCCCCCCCCATACGGTCAAGAAGAAGCCCCTTGTTCGTGTTTCAGCACGGGCCTGACACGGCGATTGGCAGGAACGGAGATTGTCCTCTGCCTTTAAATTCCTGCGCGGGTGCCGGCCAGCAGCAGTCGGCCATGTGTCTCAGACAGAGCTCTCAGTTCACAAGCTGCAGCCTTGTGATTAAAGAGCAACGGCTACGATTCTGGGACGTTTCTTGGAGTTTGGGCGTTTTCCCATAGGTGATAATTTTTTTGTTGTTTTTGGACTTTGAAGTCTGCATCCAAGCCAAGTTTAGAACAGTGTGGTGTGAAGGACATTGGGATACTCCCTGTAAAGCATCATAAAGGAGAGATTGCTTCCCACATAAAATGAAGACGAAAAGCGTCAGGCAGCAAGGTACTCATTTGTTAAGACGACACTTATCCGTGCTTATACAGACACGAACTAGGGAGAAGGAGTGTCCTGGCACTGATGTTAAATCTCAGGAGTCGATCAGAGCAGCTCTACCCAGTGTAGCTCACGGAGAACATCTGGCTGCTTGCGAGGGGGGGCGGTCAGGAGCTGGGGAGTCTGAAATGGGGACGCAGTGGCAGGTGCACACCTAGCTGAATAAGTGGGCCACTGCACAGCGTCGGAGCTTTTATGCCCGTAAGAGATGCTGCTCTGAGCTATCAGCAGCTTGCCAAGTACCGTTTGTTTTCTGTGAAATGTACTGGTGTGTTTATGAAGGCACCAGTGTGAATGCAGTGTTTTGAACTGTAAAAAGATGTTATTTTGCACCTACCCACATGAAACTGCACATTACATCACTGGCTGGGCTTTATGATGATGATATCTATAAATCAAAGCGCTGAGCAGAGATGTTTATTTCCGTAAGCATTTGGAGAGCCAGCTGCCTACACAAAGGGTTGATTCAGATCAGTGCGAAAACCCAGATGAAACATTTCAGGTGGCAGTGGCTGGATCCGATCTTTATTGAAATGCAAAACACTGCACCCGGCTCGCTGCAGGTTTCACTTCACAGGGCAAACACTGGGTGTTGCCAATAAAAACTGTTCCTGTCTTTTTAAAAGGGGAGCCCAGTGTTTGACTTGATGGTGAGCATGGTTGTGTGTGTCGTGCTTTCACGTGTCCACAGAGAAGCGTGCCGTGTGTATGTGACGAATAGACACTGAAGTACAGCTAGTCCCAGTCAGGCTGCAGCACCTAAAGCCCGAATTGGGTCAGGTGGATGCTGGGGGGTGTGCCTGCAAGTGACCGGTCTTCTGTCTCTCCTCTCGGCAGCCCTGGTCCTTGACGTCATTCTGGTGGGCACGGTGAAGGCCGTGGTCCGGCGGCGCCGACCCGCGCACAACCGCATGGACATGTTCGCCACCTTCTCCGTGGACCGCTACTCCTTCCCCTCGGGCCACGCCACACGCGCCGCCATGTGCGCCCGCTTCCTGCTGGCCCACCTGGTGCTGGCGGCGCCGCTGCGGGTCCTGGTGCTGCTGTGGGCCACGCTGGTCGGGCTTTCTCGGGTCATGCTGGGCCGGCACAACGTCACGGACGTGGCCTTCGGGTTCGGCATGGGGTACTGCCAGTACAACCTGGTGGAGGCGCTGTGGGTCTCCCCCGCTGGGCTGCAGAGCACACTGGGACTGTGGGGCTGAGCAGGAGAAGGAAGGGGGGAGAGGGGTGGGGAAAGGGATGGGTAGAGATGGGAAACAAGAGGATGGAGAGGAAGAGGTTCAGCGCACCATGGTGGTGTCAGCGCTTGCCTCAAGTCTGAACGGAACACACCTGGTATTAAGGTTTGGTGGTGCCAAGGTGGGATTTTTACTGTGCTCATTCCAATTTTCCTGTAAATCTACATATAGTCCAGGTCTCTAAGTCAAAAGATGTGCCTGTTTTGTGTGCATGAGGGAGCGGGGATATGTTTGTTGGGCTTGAGGTGATCGGACCAGGGAGTGTATATGTACCCAGATGATGGAGAGAAGGGCTTATCCACTTGTTCGCTGAGATAACTTAATTCGGATAAGGAGAGAAGGGCTCATCCACTTGTTCGCTGGGATAACTTCATTCGGATGAGGGGGAACTGTAGTAATTCGTAATTCGCGGTTCATCACAAGGCACACTCCAGGCCAGCTTTACTCCTCTTCATACCAGAGCTGAGAAGAGAGAGAAATGGACATTCTTGCATCACAAGAGTAATTCGTTTCTCACTTTATCAGAAACATCCGTGATGAGCTCCAGCTGGACTGTAGCTGGCTTTGTGGTGTTTGATCAGAGCTTTAAAACCAAGCGTACCTAAATCAGAGTGAAATCAATAAACACTTAGGGCCCCTACCTACATGTTCATTCTCCCCCTGCCCCCCAACACTACATCCTATTAGACATCTGTTTTTTTAATGGTGCTTAAAGTGGGTTGTCACATTTACAGTGTCTTTGTTTTTTATATGAAGTGGTTCTTTTTTTTTCATAGTGAAGACAAACGATGGTTAAACTGAAAAGCCAGCTTTTTACTTGTTCAAGTATCGGTAAGTCTGTTTTTTTTCCCCTTAGTCTCCTAGGGAGGTCAGTATCGTTCATGTGCGACATTATTGCAGACTTGTATTTTGATACAACTTTTATCCATTTTAAAATCCTGTAAATGCATTTTATGTTGTAATTATAAATACAATTCCACATACTGTATGCTGTAAGGCAGGGGTCGGCAAACTACGGCCCGCGGGCCAAATGCAGCCCGCTGAACTTTTCTGAGTGGCCCGCAGCTCACTACTGTTTACCGAGATCTGCTGCTCTCTCTCAGCACTAACGGTCAATTGCAGAACAACACCTATTGCACGATGCATTTTACTTTTAGCCTATCAGATGTTACCTTTAGCCTAGGTTACATACGCCTGTTGCTACAGCTGATTCTTACTGTAAATTCATCTGAATTTTTGCTGCTGCGATTGGCTCAGTAACACAAGTGATGTCTAGTGTACGCCATCTTGTTTGAAAGCAGGTAATGATTTCAAACAGTTCTAAAAGAACAAGAGGCTAACTGTAAGGCTTTACATGTAAGATGCTAACTGTAAGGCTTTCCTGCCATGTCTGAAAAAAGAAAGATCGATGCAGAGGGTTGAAAATTCAGTGACAAGCGGTTTAGAAGACTACTTTTGTGTCCCATGGAAAGAAAAGGCAATGTGTCTTATTGCTGTGATTAAAGAATACAACATAAAAAGGCGTTACGAGAAAACATCAGGCTAAGTTTTCGGAATACACAGGAGATGACAGAGGGAAAAATCAGAACAGTTGAAAAAGTCGCTATAGGGGCAGCAGAAACTGTTCAAGAGAAAACTCGAAGAATATGTTGCGGCTGTCCGAGCCAGTTATTGGGTATCACAACTTCTAGCAGCAGCTGGCAAACCCTTCACGGGCGGAGAGTTTATTAACCAGGGTATGCAAGGTCACGGAGGAGATGTGCCCAGAGAAACGCAACCTATTCCTGTCGTTGAGTTTATCGGCTAGATAGAGGATTTCACTCAGGCGACCCAGCAAGGTTAGTAAAAAAAAAAATGTTAGTGGCCCTTGCTCTAAAAAGTTTGCCGACCCCTGCTGTAAGACATTAAAATGTGTCGGGTTCTGTTGGTTCCGGTTCTCATTTGTTGATCTTTTAATGCCTTGCAGTATGTAAACGTGAATAAACACAGATAGTAAATTAAATCAGTCAGCCCACTGGCAGCTGTGGAGCTGCATCAGCGGGAATCTGCTTTCCTCAGCGTGGGTAGGTCCTACGGCCTGTTTCATCATTGGCAATCGGGCACAGAGAATTACTTGCTGTGCTGATGTGTGTAACTGCTCTTCGGCTAGGTTTTGTATTTTAAGAGGAATGTCTTTGCTTTTGAAGTATAGCTGTGATTTTACAACAGGTTCTGCAGCGATTTCCTTTTCCTACAAGGGCCTTGCCAGTGAGGTGCCAATACGAATGTTTAAGTTTTGATTTTCATTTGCAAAGTGCCTTGGGATTGTCCCGAGAGATATGATCTCTTTTTTTTGCACTTTTTTTAAGTGGCTGTTAGTATGCTTGATCCATACTGCTCCAAAGGAAAGCAAGCATTCCAGCTGGTGAAAATATGAAATTGTTAGCGGGATATGGCCAGGTATCGCAGGAGAGAGACAACAGCAAACAGGGCCATAACCAAGCACATTGTGCAGACAGTGCAGCCGAGATGCACGGTTGTGCGTGGGTAGTTTTCGCTGGAACAGCTGTTGACCTTGGGAGGGTCCGCTAGTGACGTGACCCAGGCTCGAACCCGCCATCGTAGAGCTTTGGCAAGAGCCTTTCCAGCTGTTCATCATCCCTGCCACACCGCTGAAGAGTCCGAGTCTGACGGCATGCTGGGAGCCTGCCGGGAGGTGTGGTCTCCCCGCCTCTCGCTAACATCGCTGGTGGCCTGTGGGCCCGTGGCAAGTTCCTGAAGGAGCAGTTGCACTGCCCCTCTAGCCCTGGCTTCACTCTGCCAGGTGTGCCAGCTGTGATCCGCAGCCAGAGGAATCTTGCCAGAGAGCTCAGCCTGCACCCTGAAGCTGGGGGAATCCCGCAAGTGACCCCGGCTGGAATGAGCCATGTCACAGCCAGAGAGCTCAATCTGCACCCCGTCTGAGCACTGCTGCTGGTGGAGACACCTGGGAAAACCCCTATGTTTCTTATTATCTTAAACTTTTCAGGCCAATTAATGATGAGGCTCTTTCGATAACGGTTCAACTACTTTGCATCCCAGAGCACACGTCCTCCAGGGCTCTTTGCTCTAAACAGGTCAGTGCATTGTAGTGTTTGTCACCAGTTCCTTCCTGCCAGGCCTGGGACAGCGGCAGTAGGGGTGCAGTCGAGGTTCAGCTGTGGAGCACCTTAACATGTACAGTACTGGTCAAGCTGAGTGTGCTCTTCCACAGAGCAGAGGAAGCTGGTGAGCAGAGCTGAGGACAGGACAGGTGGCCGTCAGTGGCTTGCATGGCAGATGCAGTACAATGTGACATGTAAGATAAGGAGTGATAATGCTATTAAATAATCTGCTTTCTTGGAAAATGACTTAACTGCATAGAGAGCTGTGTCAGGGGGTGTGAACTAGAGTGAAACCTTCCTTAATCTGAGATAAAGTAGGAGGGTTTGTGTTTAGAGACCACTTCTTCTTAGTTTCCATCCTGGAGTCTTCCGCCATCTTCTGCTGTAGCTTCTGAGCTTAATTACATTTGATGACCAAACGAATTCCTTTAGTTAGGCCCTTTTCTGCTGTTTTCTGCACAGTGGTTTCAGAATGCTCTCTTTTAGGTTTGTTGTCACCAAGAAATCTAGCTAGCAGATGTGTTGGCTTAATGAATGTTATTCCAATGTGTAATCATGGGTGGGAACTCTGCTACACTTTGCTACACTGTTTCACTACAATTATATAAATAAATAATTCTGTATAACGAAGGTCCCATTCAGGCCAGACCAGAGCAAACGCTAACAAATACTGTAAAGTGTGACCATCTTGATGTTCTAACGTGGGTGTCAGGATCAGCCTACTGTGAATCTGCTAGAACTGCAAGGCAGCTACGTGTCCAGGAATACTTGAGTTCATTTCATAACCATGATTATTTATATGCACTTGAAGTTGTGAAATGGATTGTAAAAAAAAAAAACAGTGACAAAGTCCAGCTCCTCAAATCGCTTCCAGAATGAGAAAGAGTGGGCAGATCCAGCCCTCCCACAATGTGCAGTCTGATTTCTGCACAGTATGTTGTGAAAGAGCCTGATGCCTGGGAACGGTTGATTGAAGTGTTAGGTCAGCCTCATTTCAGGACTTCAGGATTTAGGAAAAGCATGCAGTCTGAGGTTCCCTGTGCTGACTTTACCATGTGCATTGTGAAGATTAGTAGTTTATATGCTACAGACAGCTAGGGAAACTGGTTTAGTAGCTGTGGTTCTTTAATGGTTTGTGAAGCATGGGTGATGTCCAAAATTGCACCCATTGTAGAACGGGGTGCCACTCGCAGTGCCCTGGTGGCCCGAGTCCGCCCTGTGTCAGACCTTCCTTACTGCGCTACTCCACACATGTGGGCTAAGTCGACATGGGCATCCAGGACATTGCTATGAACGTGTTGCATCTTGGTGCACTCACATGTAAATATTTCCAAACAAATACTGACCTGCAATAAGTGAACAGGCACCAATTTGTAATACTGTGATAATAACTCTCGCTGTCGTTGTTAGTGCTTTCCGGGGTGGCCTGTGGGTGGATCCCTTCACATCTCATTATGGTGGTAAGAAGGCAGTGCTGTATCTCCACCAGGTAATGATGCAGGGAATAAGGTCACCTTCCCATCATCCCTTCTGTTCTGGTGGGAAACGTTGACAAAAAAGGGTCAGTGAACCACCAGCTCTTTTATTTCTCCTTTGAGAAAGGGACTGTATTAAAGTTGATAGCAGCTCTTTCAGAAGAGCCTGATGAATGGCTGGTGTCTTGTCTCCTGTTGTTGTTTTGTTTCCTTCCGGTGTTGGGGAAACCGGGACACTGACCTTGAATAACCTGCCATCTGTGCAGTTGTTCAGCCCTGGTCTTCAGTGCCTCACAGCCCAGCTTTTCCCCCGTGTGGTGTAAATCTCCTGGAATCATGTCACGGCAGGACAGCTGCTTTCACAGCTGTCGAGGGCAGGGAAGCAGTTGAGGAGGGCCCAACTGGACGATGCTCTGGAAATGATCTGGAAGTTGTGCAACGCAGAGCTTGTAACTGCACACACTGTGCAGCTGCCCTCATGATATTATGGTCATTACTGAAAAAGACTCCTCTATATCCCTAGTGTTTTTGGTCAGGATGAACAAGGTGCTGAACGTGTCCCACTGGGCTTCTGGGAATCCACTGTGTTGCAATCCAGGACGCCATCTGCGAAGCCTGAGATAGATCCGTGTCGAATGAGGACAGTGCAGCTAGAAAGCTGCATCGTCACCTGCAGCTGACTTGTGGTGTTTTTGTTTGAATTGTCTTGTTCCCTGATTGTGGCCAAACCACTGATTTTTACTTTTGGATATCCCATTGCCTTCTTTTTCGTAAGGGGGTGTACATTACACTGTACAGTTGACGCACCTCGGGGCGGAGTGGATCAGTGCTGCAGGTGTTGTCGTCAAGAGGCCCAAGTCGTGGAGATGGAGGTTTGCTCGGGACAGAGCTGTGCAGAGTGGCTCACAGGAGCTCAGAAACGATTGGCTGGGGAGAGTGAACACGCCGCTTCTCCTCTGCCTTGCGTGCCAGCTCACTCCAGTCACACCATCCTGGGAAAATGTCTTGAGTACAGATTGGCATTTGATTCCAACCAGCCCTGAAGAGATGGTTTAGCGCGAGGAGTTTGTCTCCTGTCTCTCCAGGCGAGGCAGTGTGTTTCACCTCTTCTACTTTTTCTGTGTTACGTTTTGAACTGAAAGTAATGTAGACAATGGTGGATGTTAATGAAGTTCTTGATTAACTGAATGTGGACTTAGTTCTGTGTGGAGGAAATAAGACCCTGGGAGTATCCCCCATTTATAGTAAACCTGCAATACATGTGAGTTCACCAGCTATGAAAACATAAGCCTACTGTATACTTGTCTGTGTAACTTATTTGCAGCATTTATATGTGTGAAAAAAGATGTGTGAAATTTGTTGTATAAAATGAATATTAATTTTTTTGTTACATCCCAAAGAGACCATATTGTGATTCTTACATATTTTTTAAATAAACAGTGTGTGAAGTTGAAACGGGGTGCTTGTGTGGTATTATTGTAGCTGAGCAGACGGCAGCAAACTCCTGTTATGAAGGCACAGGCTACTGAATGGATGTTATACAACCTGCTGCTGCTTGTGCCCTTTGAGGTGTTATTTCTAAGAAGCCTAAAGAAAAATTTAAAAGAAAAATTATTTTATTCAATGTACAAACTAAGGTCCTGGTTACAGTTCACAAGTTTGAACTATATTTCTGATGTGCAGTGTTAGCTGGTTAGTTGTGATGCTATGTACATGTATTGATAAATACAGATATGTTAGTGGGAATCTGACTTGTTCATTCCAGGTGATTTTACTCTGTAAGGACAATCCCGTTCCTGGTGACTTATTGCCATTCCACAAGCATGAAAGAGGCAATTGCTAATTAGTCTGTTCCCACTTGCTGTGTTAGACACTGTCTGTTGGTCACTGTTTGCTGAATAACAGCTTTTTACAGGGATTCACTTATAAACTCTTTAAATGGTTTAAACAATAACTATACCTTATACTGTAGTTCTTTTCACATGCATTTCAACGACCGGTCACATGCTGAATAATGCATTGGTGAGCACACTTGCTTTCACACTTGAGAAGATGTTTTTTCAAAGTCTGGTCCGTGTGTGTTTCAGGCTGGGTAGACGTGTTCAGAGAAACCATTATGAGAAGTTAGGTCTTCATGCTGTCAGAAAGTAATAATCGCCAAGTACAGGATGCCACTTCCTCTGTTTGAGGTTTGACGGTACTGTGCCCATACAGATTACCATCATCTGCAAATGTAAAACCACTTTCAGCGTCGGAAAGAAAAAAACGTTTTAGCAGTTTCAAATTCTTGCTCAAGGAGGCCTTCAGTTTGGTTATTGATTTCCGTTATTCTCCTATATATTCCCACAAACAGGCACTCTGAAAGCTCCCTTCTGCTGAGCATTCCCTTTTTATCCCGACTTCCTGCTCACACTGCAGGATGAGGACTGGACCGGCTCTCATCCCTCCCTTCCCATCACTCTGCTCGCCTCATCCCAACCCACTCCTTCTGCTGTAAGCTTATATCCTCTTCACCCACCCAAAACAGGGGGACATCATTCGGCCCTTATAGCCTCCTACCCTGGTAATTGGTAATTAATTGATCCAAGGATTTCACCCTAGCTTCTTCCCAGAAAAGCCTGCATATCACCTTAAGCAACATGAATGAGTAAGTTGTTCCACACTCCCACAACCCTTTGTGTAAAGAAGTGCTTTCTGTTCCACACTTTATCTCCTTGTCCTCCAGTTCATATTTCCCTGTTCATCCTGAAGAAATCTCCTGGATTCGGTGCTTTTGGATCGGGGACCCATGTGATCTTCTCTGCTTCACAGGATTTGAAAGGTTCTCACAAACTCTTGTACACCAGACTGCAAGCATATTTGTGTAAAGTAGTTTTTTTTTTTAAACTTAATTCTGTTAGGAGTGACTCTAAACTGATTTTGTATTACTGCTTCGAATGTTTCTGTTTATTTTCTGCTAATATTTTTCAGTGACTTGTTGTTTATGGTCTGTGAAAGAACCTTGTGGGTTGAAAGGCTGTCTGCAACTGCTAAGCGGACGGTCGTGACCGCACTAGGAGACGGGTCGTGTTCGCCTTTTTCCAATCGGTAGATGGCGCTGGGTTTTCACAAAGGTCACAACAGGGTTAAACCGGTGAGGAGGGGCCAGGGGAGACGGAGGCTCTCTGGCCTGTGCAGAGGCTCAGGGGGTAAAAGAACAACTCACAGACACTGCAGAACGCCAGGGGGCAAAGTGCGAATTGCATCAGCTCACCACGGGACCTTGCCCACCTCTGCCTCCTGGGCTCACTCGGACCGGAGCGCGCGCTGTCGGCGCCAGGGAGCCCCTCCACGGCTGGCCTGTTGGAAACCCAGGTGAGCAGCTCTTTTTTACTGTTGCTCCCGGCGACGGTCTTGCAGATTGCTGGTATGGCCCAGGGGCCGGAGTCCACATGCTCTGTGCGCAGGTACTGGCCCAGAGCAGTCACTAGTCAGGCTGTTTCTCCTTCCCCCTGACTTGACCGGTCTTTGTGCAGATTTCCTCCTGCCTCACCCTGGGTCTGGCCGCGAGCTCTGGATCACAGACATGCGCCGCGGGTTTGGTTCGTCAATGCACAGGATCAGCCCTCTTCTCCTGAAGTCGAGTAAACAACACACAATTACCCACAACTGTGCACGGATATAGAACTCCTCTAAGGCAACTCTCTGCTGGGCAGGGCTGGGGCCTCCAGACTGGTGTTGCAGGAGAGGTTGAGTGAGGCACTGGGGTTGAACTATTGAGACATACTGAATAAGAAAGGTCTTTGGGGTTTTTCTCAGATGTTTGTGCTAAAAATGCTCAGCTCACAATCCTTTTCTTTCTTCAGAACTTTTCTCTGCAAAGACTTTCCAGAATAACGACCCTTGACTTTACCCAGTAATAAAGTGGGTAACACAACCAACGGAAGACTCCCAGTTACAGACGCCCTCGCTTGACTGAATGTCAGAAAGGGCTTTATTGTACATCACGTCAATAGAAATACGTTAATACTGCCAGACAACCTCGGTCCTGTGCTCTGACCCCCATCTCCTTGAATATCTTTCACGCCTCTCTCTTTTTATCTCCCTCCCACCCCTCTGTCTACCTCCGCCCTCGACCTGCGTTGGTGTCTTCCTGCTCTCCCGCGTCGGCCCAGCCCGCTGCAGACGGCATGGTGCGGCGCGTCGCAGTGATCGGAGCCGGGCCCTCGGGCCTGGTGTCCATCAAGAGCTGCCTGGAGGAGGGGCTGGAGCCCGTCTGTTTCGAGAGCAGCGACGCCATCGGGGGCATGTGGCGATTCAAGGCAAGACCCGGCTTCACTCGCGGGTGTTCCGCCAAATCAGCAAGTCCGTATGGAGCTTTTCACGGATTCTGGCTGTGCAGGGGGAGAAAAGCCGTCTTTTCTCCGATGGACACAGCATTACACACGGAAAAGATTTCTTTGCACTTCATTCGTTGATGCACATTAGAAAAGTAGCATTTTGAGCTTAAATCGTGTAAAATGAATAACCTTTTTTCAGCTGGACGGTACATAGGATCTTGAGTGTGTAAATCCACGTTTCTTTTTAAAAGATTTTGCAACAGGCAATTGAAAGACTTATAGAGACTGTGAAGATCTTTTATAGTGATTCATGAGTGAATTTAATATATACAGTGGTGTGGAAAAGTAAGTACACCCCATGGAAAGGCTTTTTTACATTTGTGGACAAAAGGATATTTGATCATCGTTTCAACAGTACTGATAGATAAAGTTGATCTAAGTTTAAAAAATAACATTGAAAAATCACATTTTGCACTCATACTATTTAAATCAACAGAAATGCAGTTTCCTTATGCAGAAAAAGTGAGTACATCCCTACCTTTACTATTGCATCAAATGCCTAAAATTAGAATCAGGTGCACCAAAACAGGTGCAAATGATTAGAACATCATTAGAGAGTAACTTGGACGGCACTGCCTCATATAAACACCACAAACCTGTGGGCTGATTTGGTCTAAGCAATTGAGGTGCGTGGCTACATCATGCCAAGATCAAAAGAGCTCTCTGAGGCCCTCGGGAGAAAGATTGTTGATGTCTATGAGTCTGAGAAGGGTTTTAAAGCCATTTCCACGCAATTTGTAGTCAATCACTCCACTGTCCGAAAGATCATCTACAAATGGAGAAAAATTCAAACCACTGGGAATCACTCCAAGCCGGGTCGTCCCACCAAATTCAGCCCAAAGCTGACTGAAAGATGCTGCAGGAAGTCTCCAAGAACCCCAGGGTAACATCCAGGGATTTACAGGCAAGTCTTACCTCAGTCAGTGTCAAAGTGCATGAGTCAACCATCTGAAAGAGACTGCACAACTTTGCCCTACGTGCAGGGTCAGGAAGGAAGAAGCCTCTGCCCTCAAAAAACAATATAGATGCACAACTGAAGTCTGCCAGACAACACCTGGGTGAAGATCAGGACTATTGGAACAATGTGCTCTGGACGGCTGAGACAAAGGGAGAGCTGTTTGGCCACAACGCCAGGGCCTGGCCAGCTTGCCCATCATAAAGTCAACCGTGAATTCCCTATTGTACCAGAGAGTACTTCAGGAAAATGTGAGGCCATCTGTCAAAAAGCTGAAGCTAAACTGTAAATGGACCTTGCAACAAGACAATGACCCAAACACTCCAGCAAATCCACAGAAGAATGGCTCAGAAAGACGAAATGGAGGTTTATGGAATGGCCAAATCAAAGCCCAGATCTTAACCCATCGAAATGCTGTTGGGGAACTTGAAACAGGCAGTACATGCAAGTAAGCCCTCTAACATCACACAGTGGAAGGAGCTCTATAAGGAGGAATGGGAAAAACGTTCTCCAAGTAGATGTAGGAGACTGATAGACAATTACAAGAAACGCATACAAGAAGTGATTTCTGCCAAAGGCGGCAACACCAGTTATTGAAGCTAGGGGGTTTACTTACTTTTTCACAGCACTGTGTATACATATGCTCAGGGCACTGATTTCTGCCTTGTCAGAGGGACCTGGACTTTATGGTGCTGGGGTTACAGTAAGGTGCTTACCGTCAGACCCAGTGGCCCCAGGTTCGATTCCCAGCTGGGGCTAGCCTGTCCCCTTTCAAGACTTTCTGTTTACAGTTCTGCCTGTGTGATGCCTGATTTTTTAATTCCAGTTAAAAAAAACAAAATAGTATTTTTTCCTGCTTAAATTTCAAATCGGGAAGAGGCTTTTCAGCCCATATTGCTCATTGGGTAGTTAGTAGGTATTTAATCAGAGGATTTCATCTACTGCAGCTGTTTTTGAAAGAAGCCAGGGTATTGACTTCTATACCATGGCTGGGTAGCTTGTTCCCCACTCCTACAACCCTTTAGGTAAAAAAGTACCTCCGTTTACAGTTAAAATAGTAGGTCTCACTTGTGTTCTCTGCTTGGTGAATGCTGTTGATTCTGGAGAAGCCTACTGTGTTGACCTTAATGTCAGTGTCGGTGACCTTAATGATCTTTTAATACTGTACTTGAGCCGGTTCCCTCAGATCTGTCTCTGCTGGAGAATAAACAGACTCAGTTCATTTAGCCTGTCAGTGCGGGACATTCTTTTAAGCCCAGAAATGTGTCTAGCTGTTCTTTTCTGGACAGTTCCCAGCACAGCAGTATCATTTTGTGAAGTTGATAGACGTTCTGCACAATATTCTAAAAAAAGGTCTTACTCGTTTTAGAATATTGTGTGTCCTCATGCTCTGTTTGCCTTTTTTTATTGCTTCCACACTTTGTCTACCAGAGGTAAGTGATGTCAGCATGGACCAGAGGTAAGTGATGTCATCTGTCAGGTGTGAGCCCAGTAATTCATTTTTGTTTCTAGGTCTATGTGCATTTCATTAGTTTTGGTGTCATCTGTGAACACAAATCTATCACTAACTTTCGCACAAGAAGTGTTTTGCACTAGATGTAGTAGAAGTACATATAAAGTCTTAGAAATTGTGTAGTATCTGTATTGCTCTTAAATTCATACTCTGTTTAAGGTTGTTGGTTTGTTTAAAGGTGCTCTGTAAAATCTGGTAACATACAGTACAAGCAGACCCAAGTAATACATTGGACTGCCAAGTTACAAGCCGAAGGGTGTTGATGTCCCCTGTCGCCACTAGGTGGCGCACAACCCACCCTTAGTTTGCAGTGTGCCAGGTATGGGTGATGTTGGAGTCCTCTCTCTCTCAAGCTCAGCCTCGCTCACGACTGCTCTCGCTCCCTTCTTGGCAGGAGAAGCCCGAGCCCGGCAGGGCCAGTATCTACCGCTCCCTCGTCGTCAACACCTCGAAGGAGATGATGTGCTTCAGCGATTTCCCCTTCCCCGCCCACTTCCCCAACTACATGCAGAGCTCGCGCCTGTTGGAGTACTACTGCCTGTACGCCGAGCACTTCCAGCTGCTCCCTCACATCCGCTTCCAGGTGACTCCGGTGTCCCGGGCCCGCGCTCCGCCCAGTGCGCCGTGAGGGGCCCTTCTCTGGGTCTCAGGGTCTCATTGCGGTGCTGCCGATGGTTTGCGCTGCAGAATGCTGCACCATCTAATTGCCAGCAGAGATATCACACACCCAGCTGCAAAATGAAGGATTCGACTCTGACTGCAAACAACGCTATCATATTTTTACACGAATTTAGCACAGGTACTCAAGTGAATAGACATCTTACAACAGTGAAAACGTTTCACTCTGGGTCAGTAATTGCAAGTAGTCCCATGTTCATTCCTCCCTTATAATGCACTTAGGTATTATAGCTTCTACAATGTGGCACTAAAGAGCACAAGAACGTCTACAAACGAGAGGCCATCCACTGGTTCTTCTGGCCTGTTTACTGGTTAGTAACTGATTGATCCAAGGATGTGTCTGTAGAGAAGCTGGAATATCAGCTTCAACAACATGGAAGAGCTTGTTCCACTCCCCCACAGCTCTTTGGGTAAAGAAGTGCCTGCTGTTCTCAGTTTTCAATGCTCTTTCGTGTAGTTTCCATTTATGTCCTCTGTTGATGCTAAATGTGTCTGCTTGGTTGACTTTGTCAGTGCCTTTAGGGATCTGAAAAAACCCGTATCAGGTCCCCTCACAATCTTACAAAGCAGTTTCTTCAGCCTGTCAGTTCTGCTCCCCAGGAATATGTGTAAGTAACAGTATGTGCGCTGTGTGATTCCCTGTGGCTGTCAGACCACCGTGCTCAGTGTGAAGCAGCGCCCGGATTTCTCTCGCTCCGGCCAGTGGGAGGTGCTGACGGTGGACAGAGAGGGACAGGAGGAGAGCTTCGTCTTTGATGGGGTGCTGGTCTGCACGGGACACTATACTCAGCCAGCTCTGCCCCTCGGAGACTTTCCAGGTAGGCGCAGTCTTCCCACCGTCCCCTGCAACTTGCCGATGATACAGTATGACCTGAGGAGGAAAGAGCTCGGCTGGGTAGTTATCTGCCGAACAGGAGAGGCAAGGCAGGAAACCCGAATTCAGAAACTAGCTGAGGGTACCCGGCGCTTCTTAATGCTCTTTAAACGGCCCGAAACAAATGACCCTGTTCTTCTCACTCCATGGGTCAACGCTAGGCATCGCGACGTTTGAGGGACAGCACTTTCATGGCTGGGAGTACAAGGATCCGGATAAATTCCGTGGGAAAAGGGTCATGGTGGTGGGGATGGGAAATTCTGGAGGGGACATCGCTGTGGAGATGAGCAGAGTGGCTGAACAGGTGTGTACAGTTCCATGCAGTCTCAAACCCTCCCTGAAACTAAAGTTGAAGGCGCAGAAAGGTGACACTGCAGAGCTCTGTGCTGCAACCTGCCTTCTGCAGTCCTTCAGAGACCAGCACCCGTACAAATTTACATTATTGCTTCGACTAGAGAATGGAATTGTCTGAGACACTGCACGGGGACAGTATGGTGTCTGACACACACTGTGCACAGGGACAGTGTGGTGTCTGACACACTGTGCAGGGGGACAGTGTGGTGTCTGACACACTGTGCACGGGGACAGTGTGGTGTCTGACACACTGTGCACGGGGACAGTGTGGTGTCTGACACACTGTGCACGGGGACAGTGTGGTGTCTGACACAC